TAGACCAAACATGCGTTCCTGGCGCGGGTGTATCAGATGCGATTTCCTGTGTTTTACTGAGGCAGAGAGGCGGTGGACAAGGTTGCACGGCACGGCAAAGACGGGTGTGACTCGAGATCGAGATGAGATGAGATGATGTAGAAGGAGGAGGCGTGGGAAGCAGAGGAAATTGACGAGAAGCGGTTGAAGTGGGAAAAGACAGGGTTGCTGCATCTATCTGATGCAGAGTGATATGGAAACATCGAAATTACATACTCATCATTACTCTTTCGCATATTGCGCAGGACGCTTGGGTACCCTTCCTACTCAAATACCGGCATCCATACGGATTGCGGCATGCCCGGTGGAGAACGATCTGTTCCACGTAAATTTAGCGCATCGAGGATGGGGCTACCTCAGTAGATCCAATTCTTTCCGAACCTTGTAGCTGACTCTAGGGCAACACCAACCGATTACTTTCGCTGCACCGGCAGCTTCCAGATCCGCTGCGACATCCTGAACGGTTTTGTATGCCCATGGAGCTTCTTCAAAGACAAGGTCTTTCTCGTCACAGATAACCCACGTGCCTTCTGGGTCTTCTGCATTCGGCTCCAAGAGGTTGATGCCTTTGTACTTCTTACCCAGGGTCTGGAGAGCCTTTGCCCGAGACATGGCTCGTCCTGCGCCATGGGCCAGCGAAAGTCCGTTTTTAAGCCCCCATGAGTTGGCTTCCGAGAATGTTGGCTGGAGGATGAGCGTGGCGGTGCTCCGGGAACCGGGCAGTGGAAGGAGACCGAGCGGCAACTGAGTTTTGGGGTCGTATGTTGGGGCTGCGCCTTTTCTATGGAGAAAGACGTATTCTTTTGGAGTGTTTTCATCGCCAAGTGCTATTTGGTCCAGCGCCTCGGTCAGACTGCGTTCAGGCGTAGGTTCCTCCGCAGCTGAAGAAGGGGCAGGTGGAGGCCAGGCCACACATTCGACGTTGTTGTGCCAGATGTCAACTACCTTGCGCTTCTTCAGTGCCGCTTTGGCTGTCGCGATCATCGTTATGCCTTCGTCGCCGAAGTCGCTGGCGTCAGAGTCGCCTAGCTGCCAGTCTTCATTGCCAGGCTCAAGACATGCAAGGAATCGCAGGGCAATCAGATCCCGGTTAGCCTTCGCCCACTCGCAGGCCTTGTTGTGCTCCTCCAGGTATGCATTGGCATCCTCACTATCGTCCGGAAAGCTTGTGCGTGAGTCGGTTGTGTACTTCTTGAGAATGCTACCTCCTAGTCCTCGTGATCCCGAGTGGACCAGCAGGACGACATCATCTTGATGGAGTCCATCGTCCGACTTGGCAAATCCCGATTCCTCGACGACCTGGATCTCGGCAAAATGATTCCCAGCTCCTATGGTGCCCAGAGCAGCGTCCCACTGTTTACCGGCGGAAATGCTACAGTTGTCTTCGTCCAAGAGCCATTTCTCTCGATAGGCTTGGTTGCGCCAGGCACCCTCTAGTCCCCGAAGCTGATTAGCAACATTCTTGCCTTTGTTCCCATCAACCTGGCTTCTGTTGAGTGTTGTTTTGTACCAGGCCATACCACATCCGATATCGCCACCGATTAGAGGAGGATGGATCCATCCCTTGGAAGCAAAGACTGCGCCGATGGGAAACTTGGTGCCTGGGTGGAGATCGGGTTGACCAACGGCGTGTATGATACCCGGAAGCGTGCGCGCGGTAGTCTCAAGCTGAGTTAAAGCCAGCGGTTCAATGAGGGTTGCTTCAGATGCTAATATTTCAACTGGGCATTGTGGATTTGCGTCGGCTATTATATTGTGTCAGTAATTGATCGTAATACGGAGGGGGGTAAGCACAGATATTGAGCGCAAACTTGCTCAAACGTCAGTGCTACTTACCATGCACCCCTGATACTTTCCGGGCACCAACATAGTCTTCTCCCGCTGAGACGAGCAATACGACATCGTTATTAATGTTGCTCTTCCAATCTGCTTCAGCCACAAGCTCTTGTCCGCTGCGTCCGACAAAGACACGAGTGGGTTTCTTTACACGCAGTTTTGTCTGCGCACTCTTGAAGACAAGCGCTCGGACAGAAGACGAAGCTGTGGGGTCAGTGGACGCGGAAGCGGGTATAAGGATTGGACATTTTGTTGATTGGTTTGCATTTGATGCGAGAGTCAGACGTATGGCGGGCATCTTCGCACTGTGGTTGAGATTTTGGGTCTGGTGGAGTAACACGATCTCGAAAGGGAAGCGATAGTCGTTCGTGATATGGACATAGAACGAAAGTTTGATCACAGAGTCTGGTGACAGGACTTTATTTACACTGCGCGTTCGCAAATGGTTTACCTAGCGCAGCGCCGCTCACTTCGACTCATCTTGAACTATTCGAGCACAGCCACAATGTCTTTCACCACAACAAAGCGTAGCGTAACGGATGCCTTGCCCCAAAAACATCGAACAAGCATAATGCTAACGCACTTCCACATTGATGGTTAGATAAGTGCTTCACGTGACTGCGCTTTTACCTCACAGCCGCCGACGTGAAGCTATGGTTGGGATCGTATACCAAAAACGCAGGCAAGGTGTGGTAAGCGGTGTAATTGAAAAGCAGGGCCAAAGTAAAAGGAAGAGATCATCAGGGCCCGCCGTCCCGTATCGCGGGCGTGGACGAGAACGTGCCATGTGCATGACGTACTATAGTCCGATTGGATGCTTGGACCGCGTTGCCGTTACAACGCACCTTGCTTGGCGCATACCACACAGCCGCACCGACTTTGATGCCCACGACATCTCGACACCTGCCAGCCCATACTGCGACCGTCCATTGCACTGCGCTTCCAATTGTGAGTTACTAATTGGCACACATCGGTCCCACGCTCATGCAAACAGCGCCCAGCCACTACCACATCGATAGCCGTAGCCGTCCCAACAACAAGCCGGCCCCGTACGACATCACCACTCCCCGGCGCAAGCCGCACACCTTGCCTCACGAACGACCAACATCCATAATCCCACAATGCGCACATTCTTCGCCCCGCTACTGCTTGCGCCGCTCGCCGCGCTCGCCGCACCCGATGTCTACGGCGACTTCGAGGCCGCCGTTGCGCCATTACCGACCCCCGTATACGAGGCCATGGAGACATCTCCCGCCGACGGCAACCTCGAACTGCTTAAGCGTCAAGGCAATGCGTGCGCGACTTCCTACTTCAACTGCGCCGGCCTTGGCGCGCCAGGACTCTGCTGCCCACGAACAGCCGTCTGCTCAGCCGACCAGGCCGGCCACGTAGCATGCTGTCCCCAAGGCGTCGCCTGCACAGGAGCCATCGGCGCAGTCCCCACCGGCGCGAACCCCTCGGCCACCTCGACCGTCTCCTTCGTAATCGCATCCACAACCGGGGAGCAGCCCTTCGTGCAGGAAACAAATGGCGCAAACCACGGAAGCACGGTACAGAACCAATTCTACCCTTTCCCGTACATACCGACGACTTACACCAACGCAGCTGCCTGCTCGTCCGCTTATACAAGCTGTCAAAGCGATGCTGCAAGTTGTACGACTGCTCTAGCCAATGGCGCCGCCGGCGTCACCATCTCGGCCCCCAACGGCGGCGGCGCTACCATTACCGCCATTCCCAGTGTCGGCCTCCAGTCCGCCCAGAGCATCTGCTCCAGTCTCAGCAGTCTGGGCTGCTCGCAGCTTACCGTCGAGGCTTGTGCGGCTTTTGATGGCCAAGGGAATGCGGCGAAGAGAGCGCGGTGTGCCGACTACCTGATGACAGCGGGAATGGCCGTTGGAATCGCAGGGCAGCTGCTGAGATGAGGAAGAGATGCGCTCGTGTCTTCGTTTCTTTGTGGATAATACGGTGGTTCCTGATGTTCATGAGCGGAAAATACGAATGTGCTTTGGCACAGGCTTGCTTGTGTGGATTTTGCCACGATATGGCGTTCGTAAGGAGTTTAGCGGTACAGCATGCGGCTGAATTGTGTCGTCACTCATATCTGTATATGCCTTCAATGAGATTATATAAGCTTTTCCATGTCACTTTGTTCTACCATACTCTGTGCTGTCATTCCCATATTAAGATTGGTGTCGTTCTACTTGGACGACATTATCTCAAGCCAATCATTCAAGAGATTAGGATAACGACTGAGTCCAACATGTCTAGCCATAAGACAATGTTGCTTGAAACAACCCTGTCTTCGAGGTAGAACCGTCCAGAACGAACAACATCTAGATGGAGACTTGCAGCTCATGTAAAGTAAGAGGAGATTAGACAGTATGTAAGCAGCAACGTCTCAGGTAGCACTTGACACAAAAAGATCGCACCCAGAATAGAATACCCGTATACTATCTTCTCATGGATCCAACTCTCTATCTATATCGATATCTTCCCGTCCTTACTCTCACATGCCTAAGTATATCAGCAATAGCAAAAAGAAGATATTATGAACGCGGCTAGACTCGAACTAGCATCTCCCACACGACTCCCGCGGCGGTTTTTAGTCCGACACACGCCCTTGCCGCGGTCCTGCAGGCCCGACAGGACAAAGGACTACTCAGTAGTGGATTGTTTAGCGTGGACGTCTTGACCATTGGACTACGCATTCTGCGTTGATTTGATCGATGGTGAGATGGGTAGTTGGAGAGGATGTGTAGAGTATTCTTGGGTGAGGTTGATGAATGATAGATGGCATCTGAATGCATGGAGAGTGGTGAGTGAGACAAGATAAAGCACAGTACGATGTGTGAGTAAGAGCGCAAGTAAAGTGAGAGGATATGTTGAGAACGTTTGCGTTCTCTAATTCGTAAAGCAAGTGTCGTGTTCATAAAGACATAAACCTACAATGGTTTCCTGCGCATGGGGAAACCGGGTATCAAGATCGTATGAAACAAAAAGCCCATACAAGGCCCTCTCTTTCCTCATCCTCTTTCAAATAGCCATCATACTCGTGTCGTAAAGAGGGTATCCAAATCCAACCAAACATACTTTTCAGTCACCACCTCACCTCAGTCAGTCGCGACTCACACCTGATCCCGCGGCTCAACCCCCCTAACAGCAACCCCATCAATCCCCCCAAAACTACTCCTCGGACTCACATCCCCAACATCCTTCCCAAACTCCTTCTGCCTAAGTTCCCAACTCCCCACCCTCTCATGCCCCCTCTTCCCATCCCCACCAAAACTAACAACCCCCGCATTATTCGTCGCAGGCGGTGCCCCATTCCCCGCAAGACTAACATCCGGATCCGACGCCAACTTCGCCGAGCCCTTGAAGCCGCCAAGATCCGATTTCTGACTACGAAGGTTGGCACCAAGACGGTGCTCGACGCGGTGGAAGCGGAGTCCAGTGAGTAGCATAGCGAGTGCGAAGAGGAGGCCTGCTACGACGAGAGAAATGACTGCGCCGATTACGCCGCCGACGACGGGGGAGACGCCGTCTTTACTTTGTCTTTCGTGGGCAGCGGGGACGACGAGCGTGACGCCGCTGCCGTCTGCGCCGCGGCAAAAGAAAGCTCCTGTGCTGCAGGTTTCGCACCAGTCGCTTAGGCCCTGCATGGAGATGGTGCTGAAGAGTCTTTCGAACTCTGTGTATCGCATGTCTGTCTTGGAACGCCCGTTGTTGAACATGGAGTAGGATTGCAGTGGCTTGTCGTCTGCGTCTGTGCCGTTGTGGAAGTAGAAGCGTACCCAGAGGTCGTCGGGGTCGCTGGGCATGGCTGTGTTGGAGCTGGTGCTGAAGAGTTCGAATATCATGGCGGAGCCGTAGGGTGGGATGGATTTGAATTCGGCGGACTGTGTGTCGAGCATCATTAAGGACATGAGGCTCATCATGGCGTCTTGTTCGCCGAAGAAGAAGGTGAGTGGGCTGGGCGTGCTGATCTGGCCTGCGCTGCTGAGATCGCCGGCGCTGTTGTTCTTGCCAGATACGAGCATGTCGAAGGTGTTTTGGATCGAGCCGGCGAGCGTTTTGCCGCCGATGGCTCGGTTGCTGGTTTCGGAGGTTGAGGTGTTGCCGTAGAGATACCAGGCTACTTCGTCGGCGCGGGATCGGAGCGTATCGTATAAGCCGGACTCATTGTTTGCTAGGGTCTTGTAGATACTAGCGTTGTGCATGTATTGGTATGATAAGTAGTCTGCCAGTTCAAGTGCATACATATATGACCTGTGTCAATGTCAGTATTTGAATCACATGACAGTACTGAATCAGCTCTGCACCAGAGAAGGTAGGGCAGGGGTAGGAGAAGACCATAAAATAGAAGGCGAAAGTCCAAGACGTATTCCGTCTCCAATCGTACTTACAGTTCATCTTGATTGACGTGGCCTTCGAACCAATCCAGAGGGAGGTTCTTGTACAGTTCACTGTTGTCTGCCAAATACTCGGCATCCCGGTATTCTTGAGTCGTGAAGTATTTCAGTGCGTCGGTTTGTCCTTGTGGACATTGTCCAGCTCCAGATACAAGTCTCGAAACTGGGTCGTACACATTCGCAGCATGAATGCTAGCGTACTGATATCCGTTGAGTGGGTAGTCGACCGAAGTGCCGTCAGCGAGGACACCCGTGTTATCACCAGTTGCGTTGCTGATGTCATGTGGTGGGTAAAGACCTTGCATGAAGGCTTGCGCCGACGAAACCAGGTATGGCGCATCGAGAGTCTGAACCCAAATCTGGTCGTTGTTCAGGACATCCTCTGATAGTCCCGCAATGGACTCAGGACCGGAAATGAACTTTGATCTGAACTTTTGACCGAGCGCATGCATCTGATTCGCGCCGAAGCTGGTAAGAGTCTGGGTATTATTGCGCAAGATGGGTGTCCGTTCTCCCGTGCGAACGAAAGCGAAAGCAGCAAGTGTATGTTCCGAGTCTGAACTCTGGGCGCCAGCCAGCGAGGCCGAAGCCATTGCGGCGACGATGGTGCGTGTGAACATTGCGAGAGTATGTTGGTGTGGTACCTCAACACCAAAACGATGACGATGGTGCTTGCTGGTGACGATAATACCAGCGACAAGGCTGAACACCAACTGAACCCCGGGATCACATCTCTACTTATTCCCTGCGGCAGCTCGCATGCAGAACTAGATACCCATGCTTATTTCCAAGGCAGCCAGGCACCTTACCCGCCAGCACAAAGAAGCGAACAGTCCGTGGCCCCCAATAACGATAGCGGCTGAACGCCTAATGTAAGCGACGCGGAAGAACTCACAACTCTGTACGCGCCGCATGTAGGGCCGCGGCGTGACTGAAGCTGCAGCCTTGCTGAACAACTATGACATGTTCATGACTGCCTCGAGCCAAATATTGCAGACGGATAGACATCCGTGCAAAGGCATCATCGATGCATGAACCAAAGTGTTGCGGTTCCTTGGTTACACAGCATCCGAATTAGCCGTATTCAACGAGACTATGGTGGATGCCAAGACTATAGGTATGGCTTCGGGGCGCATCGAATCCTGCAAAAATCAACGGGGTGGCTGGGTGCTGACAGCGGGAGCCCAGATCCTATGAAGAATGATTCTCTCGCACGAGTGTGTTGGCCGCTATCCTACGCCTAGTTAGCCTAAGATATTTACTAACGCTTCTCGTGGTCGTGACCGGGATACCGGTGAGCGGGACTCGGCACATCAGGTACAATGAGGAAACATACGATACTGCCACACCATGTTTCTGTGGGTCAGCGGTACAGGACATGAATCTGCCTTACTTGCATTTGGGCCTTGATTCAACCCGATGGATAATTTTCCTTCTATCGTGGGCGACTTCATCTTCCAGGTGTCGCCGTTTCAAGATTCATGTTGGTGAGAATTATTGCGGCGAACAGACGAAGGGTTTGCTTCTTCGAGCGGAATGTAGGGTGGCTAAAGATGGATCAGAGCACTACGTTAGGCCGCCCACAGGGCTGAAAAAGTGTTGCCGACCCATCCGTATCAAGACGCGGCACGTGGCACGTGGAACTCGCATTGCTTGTTCGTTTGACATTAAATAATATATGTCCGCCAACAGCGGGCGGGTATTGCTACAATGGCCCTACGATGCTGCGGAAGACCTTCGTCTACCACGCTCAAAACGCCAGTTTGGGTCCGCCATCAAGCGACTAGAACCGGATATACCCTTGCCTTTTCCAAACCATGACTCTACAAAGTAACTTCAACACGGCCCTCGGCACCTGGCGCACCACCAGCCTGCAGCGAGGGCAGGAGGTAGGTGATGTCGTCCCAGGGATGTCTGTAAAGACCAGTGCGCAGCCTCTTCTGGTCAAGGAAATGGGCAATGAGACCGATACTTCGGCCAAGGACGAAGAGACCGTTAAGGACACCCATCTTCAGGTAGTCCTCAGCCTCCTCTTGGGTGAAAGCACCACCGTTGCGAACAAGGTCAACGAAGCAGACAGCGATGCAGCCGTCAACGTTGAGAATCAGGTTGTCCTTCTTCGATGTGGTCACTGACTCGACGGCAAGCGCGTAGTCGAGCAGCTTGGTGCTGGGGAAGTTCTTCTTGACGTACTCCTTGACGAGCTCGACACGAAGATCGGGGTTGTTACGCGACTTGATCCTGTGACCAATACCAGGAACTGATAGACGTTAGCTGATGTACAAATATGGCTTTCAGCTTAGGCGACTTACTGAGCTTGTTCTCCTTCCTCATTGTGTCAACGAAGTCACGAGGGCTGAGGCCCTTGTCAAAGGCCTTGCTGAACTCCTCAGCGGCGCCGTCGAGCGCACCACCGAAGCGCGATCCAATGGTCAAGAGACCAGAGACCAAGGCACTGATGAGGTCCTTGCCAGCACGGGTAGTGATGATGGTGTTCATGGCACCAGACACAGCTGGACCGTGATCGGCAGTCAACATGAGAACCATCTCGAGGAAACGGCTGGCGTAGTTGGGCAGACGGCGACGGAACCACAGCAGTGACATGACACCACCGATACCGATCTCCTCCCTGAAGACATCAGAGATGGGCATACCAGCGTACAGAAGCTCTTGACCACGGTCGTCAGAGATGGTGGAAATGAAAGCAGCGGGCTTTCGGATGAGACCGAGCTCCTGCGCCCATGAGTAGTCGATGGGGATCTTGGGTACAACGGGCTCAGGCTTGGGCTTGATGGTGCCGTCCTTGACGAGCTTCTGGTAGACCTGGGCAAGAGTGCCGGGCATCTCCTCGAAGGTCTCTGGGACGTAGATGCCAGCTTCCCTCATGGTCTTGTTCTTGGTGGCCGCAGTCTCGAGCTGAGAGTTGGCGAAAGAACCAGCGTGACCGAACTGGACCTCGGTCTTGAGCATACCAGCAACGGTACCGATGGCCCACGCAACAATGGGCTTGTTGACCTGGCCAGACTTGACAGCCTCAATGACGCGGTATTCCTCAACACCACCAACCTCACCGAGCAGGACAATGATCTTGCAGTCGGGGTCGGCCTGGTATCGGAGAACGTGGTCGATGAAGGTGGTACCGGGGTACCTGTCACCACCAATGGCAACACCCTCGAGCACACCATCGGTAGTGTTTGCGATGATGTTGTTCAGCTCGTTGGACATACCTCCGGACTTGGAGACGTATGAGACGGAACCAGGGCGGTAGAGCTTGGAGGCAACGATGTTGTCCATCATACCACCAGTGTTACCGATCTTGAACGCACCGGGCTTGATGCCTCCGACGGTGGCCGGGCCGATGATGGTGATGCCCTTCTTCTGGGCAACGTGGAGGATCTCACGCGCACGCTAGTGCAAGTCAGTGGCTGTTCAAAGTAGTTTTTGCTGCGGTTGGAACTTACTCGCTCGGGTACACCCTCAGCAATGATGGCAATGCACTTGATCTGAGGGAATTCCATCAGCTCCATGGTGGACTGGAAGACTGAGCGCGACGAGGCAAAGTTGACAACGGTGTCAACATCGTTGTGCTTGCCAACGGCCTTCTCGACTGTCTGGTAGACGGGCAGCAGAGTCTCGCTGGTTCCCCAGTACCTGTATTGTGTGAGTCGGATGTTTGGCGGGGCACTTCGGGGTATTGTCGACTACATACATTTTGCTGACGAATTGACCGCCGAATGTGTAGATGATACCGGCGACGGAGGGCTGCTTGCGCTTGCAGATGAAGTCGAAGTCGAGCATGCCCTGGACGGCACGGGGCTGCAGTCCGCTGTTCACATTGTGTTAGAGCCGCGCTCCGGTATTTTGCAGGCGTGGTGGTCTTACTAGACGAAGCATCGTGTCTTGGGGTGGAAGAGTGTGTGCGAGGCCGGGGGGCTCATGGGCCGGCTGGGGGCAGCGAAACGACGGATGTTGTCGTTGGCGGAGAGGCCATCGCTCGAGGTGGCCGCCTGCGCTGGGACGCTCCCGTTGGGGGGTGCTGCGGAAGGCATTGTGGACGTCGATTAATTCTAGAGAGGCGGGAGGGTCAGTCTGGCTCGGAACGGGCGTTGTGACGAGCAGATAAGGTTGGCGGTCGGGGTATTTCGCGTGGGAAAAAATGCTTCGGAGCTGTTGGGGCAGGCACGCAAGAGCGGGCAGGTGGGATGGAGCTCAACAAGGGCTAGGGAAGGAGCGAGCGAGTGACTTACCTTATGGATGCAATGCCGTGCTGAGGGCAGAGCAGAGTACTTGGATGGATGGGGAGAAGGTTGCGAAGAGGGAGCAGCGATTCTTTCCGAAGTTTGGCCCTTACTTTTGGCGGTGTTGAGCTGGAGAGTGATATCCCCTGCACGAACTAGATGCGTGTGGCGCTAACCCCAAGTCCCGAGCGGTGAACGGGGACCCGAATGTCTGCACCGCAGCGTCGCACCTCGGAATTGGGGGTGTTGGTAATAGATGGGGCTTCAATGCACCGCGCTGGCGCTTTCTGGAAGGTGTTATCGCGGAAAATCCCCCGGGAAGCGTGTGTTCGGGTCGTTGATATCTCGTCGTGGGTCGTGTAGGGCATCCGCAGCTGCTGTACCCCTGGTGGGGTGTCCTCGCCGTGATAGGCCCGCCGTGCGCCCAGTGCCTTAGCCCTGCATCCGCTGCCCGCCCTCAGTGCTCAACACGCAGAAAAAACATCAGACCGCTTTCTCAAGCTCCTCCCAAGCCGTCTGACAACTCAATCTTGCCAGCAGTTCCTCTTAACCCTCTGCAGACCGTGTGTCAAGCCTCAACAAATCCAGGTACGTCTGCCCACTCCCCAGCCTGCCACTTCGCATCTTTTGTCCCGGCCCCCTCACCATCTTCTCCGAACATCTTCGTCTCCGGACATTGCATAAGGCCCCATTGCCATACCCGAGACTTCTTTCGGGATTGCCTGCCAGCCATATCTCTTGCACCCCATTGTCTCCACGCGAGCCGCCCCTCTTGACATTGACACTCATCCATCGCAGTTTGACCATACACCACAATGTCAGCCAAGTCTATCCTCGAGGCCGACGGCAAGGCCATCCTCAACTACCACCTCACCCGCGCGCCTGTCATCAAGCCCACTCCCCTGCCCGCGTCGGCCACACACAACCCCCCCTCCAAGCTCGCATCGCTGCACTTCGCCGCCGATGAGGACATCAAGGGCGTGCTCGACCAGGCCGAGGCCACATACCCATGGCTGCTGACCCCCGGTTCCAAGTTCGTCGCAAAGCCAGATCAGCTCATCAAGAGGCGAGGCAAGAGCGGCCTGCTCGCGCTGAACAAGACCTGGGCTGAGGCGAGGGAGTGGATCGAGGCGAGGGCAGGAAAGGAGCAGCGTGTCGAGACTGTCGATGGTGTCCTGAGGCAGTTCTTGGTCGAGCCTTTCGTTCCCCATCCCCAAGACACCGAGTACTACATCAACATCAACTCTGTGCGAGAGGTACGTCCATTTCAGTTTCCGCCTTTTTCTACAATCATTTCGTTATTTCGTTACGTCGTATCTCGTGCCGTTTCGGGCGACCGTGTGGTCTGGCGCATG